GAATCCTTCAGCAGATACGTTACGGGATTAGTTCGTTGTATCTTGCCTATTCGACAAATTTCGGTGGTCCAATTAGGTGTGAAGCCTTTCTCGAAGATCGTCTTAAACTTGCTGATGCGTACTGGATCAGCTACTTTGAATTTAGCCGGAGTCATTAATCGATTCTATCGTTCGTGACTCGCATGGTTGACGGTACGCGACCCGCGCCCATCTTTTTCGCGCTGCTGCCGTGAATAAGCGGAGCGATAACGAACTTGTATTTGTATCCTTTATTTCCTAAAACAGATTTTTTAGCGTCATGGTCGCGTTTATGAGCGTTCGTTGTTAACAATATACTCTTGTATGTTAATTTATCCTTTTCCGTATATGTGAGACTATCAGGATTTTTCATGAAGATTAATTCGTGTAAACCGGGGGTATCGATGTATTTAATTTCATCTATAAGTATGGAGTCATCCGCGTCTATACTGAATCGCCTATTGCCAAGCATTGCGCCTTTCGCGCTCATGTACACTCCGTAAACGTGATCGATCTCATTTGGCGCTTCTCCGCCGAGAAGAGCCCCCATGTATTTTCGTCCCAACGGTCCTAGCCGACCGTGCGACATTTCGCGATCTTGAGAAGTTCGCGAAGTTCGCTTAACGGGCGTTTCGAACGTCGAGGACGACTCGAGATTCTCGGGTTCGAACGCTTCCTCTTCAGTTTCGTCCCTCGCGAATGGATCTCTCTCGATAGGATATACGTTTGACTGAGTAGAAACGGCATCTAATCGTCGTCGCGCTCGTATTCGTTTCACTTTAGGTTTTTTCCAAGCGGGGGTCAACTCTTCCTACTTCCATTTTTCCTCATTCCATTTTTCCTCGACGCTCGTCGTTACAGGCGAAGCGTCGATCGCGTCTTGCTTGATCATTTCGCGTTTAATCTCGTCTCGCTCGATCTCGTCTCGCTTGGCGCGCTCGGCGATGCGCCGCAGCGGGTCGACGATTGGCTTAAAACGGCTCTCCATCGCGATCTCGTTCTCCATTTTGCCGGTCTTTAACGCTCTGTGTTTTTTACGAATCGATGCGCGCGTCTTAGCAATCTCTTTCGCCGTCTTCTCTCGTTCACCGATATCCGTCGCAGCCATCGTGATTAACGAATCGGTCCTTCTCGCTCGCGGGAGGGAGAGCGATCGATGCGTTCGCGTGCCTCACTTTAGAGGCGTGTTTATGCGCGACGCGCTTCCATCGCGGGCGCGCCGCGATGAGAGCGGCATCGTGAATTTAGACGACGCATCCGGCCCGGGTACTCATTGGGTGGCATATGCGAAAAAAGGGGGCGACGCGATCTATTACGACGGTTTAGGCAATCTTCGTCCTCCGCGCGAACTCGCGCGTTATCTGGGGACGCGCGGATGCCGCGGTACGAGCGGAGATAAACAAGTAATAAAAATAGATTATAGAGGAAAATATATAACAAAAAATAATGTGATAAGAGGGACTCGAGCGCACGCTAAATAACGCGCATCCCGGATACGCGATGAATGTTTGTCGTCGCCGGAAAGGGTACATTTCTCTAATCGCTTGTCAAGTGTTCTTCTTAGAAGATAAACGAATAATAATAATAAAATATTCTGGCTATACAGAATCTGTACGGGTCTCACGACGACGGAAACTATCCAACGGCGACTCCCGCGGCGCCCGCTATGACGAGTGTCGCGCTAATTGACCCCGCGCGCGTGGATCTCTGCGCTTTACGGCGCGTGGATACGCAGTTACTCTTAGCCTTATGCGTAAATCGCGATGCGGTCTCGCGGATATTCCCGATCGCGCGTATAGCCCGATCGCGCGAAAATGGCCGAAAACGCTCCTCACGTGGAATTTTCAGGTAGCTAGCGAGGAACTCTCGCGGCTCTTATCACCCGCATCCATTTTCAGACGAGATCGCGACCGAACGCCTAGATGTGACGCGGATGTTTCGATTGTGCGGCCGCTCAGAATCTTAGGAAGACGCTATCCATTGACCAAAACTGCGTACAAACATCTCGAAGTCAGCGTTCATGTTAGTCGACCCTCTTTTCTGGAAATCGTCCTTGGAGATTGCCACGGCAAGGAGACCTCGCTAACGCTGGATATGTGGAAGGAATTGCTCGATCTACGATCTACGCTTCTATCCTATTTTCGCTCCGACGATTAGAACAGTTTGTAGACGACCGAGGGAGACGCGTGGACAGGGGGGAGAGGAGGGGGGGTACGTAGGGCGAGTCGGTAGGCGCGACCCCCGATCGAGCCGAGCGCCATCTCACGGGCAATCTTAGCGATTCATACCCGTTCCCTCCCGTGACGTCACGCGATTTTATTACATTGCAGCAATGTTACAATCTTGCAAGTTGCAATATAATATTGTTGAGACATTATTGGAACATATAATTGTAATATTTCATGAGAATGTTACAGCCACATTCCAGAAACATTACAAGAAACAGTTTTCGATAATCGAAAACTATGCAATATTACAATGTTTCAATGCAAGGTCTATGCAACGTTTCTGCAATCTTTCGGTGCTGTATAGGCGTCAACAGTGATATCTTGTTAAATAAATTAGTTGCCATTGGCTGTGAAAATCATCTTTTACGATCTATAAAATTTTTTACATATCAAAGACATATTCACACTGATATATTAAAGAACGAAATCAGACTAATTTATAAGGGTCTACCACAAAGAGGAGTTCTCAGCCCCCTTCTTTACGTACTATATGTCTCTGACATAACAAACAATATACCAAAACACGTTTTCGACTCCCAATTTGCCGACGATATCGCAATCTACTGAAAAATTACTCCTTTCAAAAAATGCAAAAATCTTATTGAAAAAACAATAACAATAATCAAAAATAACCTACATTCCCTAGGACTTGAACTCTGCCCACAAAAAACAACACTACTACATTTTAATAATAAACAGGTTACACCGGGTCAGACTGAAATCAAAATCGATGAGCATACTATTAAATCTAGTGAAACTATTCGTTTTCTGGGTATAACTTTTGACTACAAAATGACTTTTATACCGCAACTACTATATATATAAAAAAAATGCATGAAAGCCCTTAATATCATAAAATTTTTGTGTGAAACATGGTGTGGCTCAGATCCAGAAACCTTATTAATCTTATATAAGAGTCTTGTGCGCTCACATATTGATTACGGATGTTTTGTATACTTTCTAACACGAAAAGATTTAAGAGAAAAATTGGAAAAAATACAATATTCAACAATAAGATCAACTTTGGGTTATCGTATTAGCACACCAACAAACATTTTAATAGCGGAATCAAAACTCCCACTTATTCAGGATCGCACAAGGTTCTTATGCAATAGTTATCTAAGTAAAGTCCTGACTAACACGTGTACACAAATTAACAAAACAATAAACCAATATTATTTAAAAAAACAAAAAAAGAATAGACTTCTAAAACAATGCATTGACGATACGCTCAATATAACAAAAAATTTACACATCCATAATCATTATGATATTTATAGCTTTGATTTTGAAACAGTTATTACTTCAATCCCGATCAACACCAAAATTGGAAAACATCTTAAACAAAATGTAAACCCTAACACTTCTTTCAATAAATTTATTTCAAAACATAATTCATACACTATATATACAGATGGTAGTAAAGTTAACGGATCAAACTCAGTAGGAACAGCTTGTATTTGCCAAGAATTAAACATTATTAAAAAAAGAAACATTACAAATACTGCTTCTGTCTTCACGGCGGAATGTATTGCATTAAACGATGCTCTAGACATCGCTCTTCTCAATCCAGACCATAATTTCAAAATTTTTTCAAACTCACTCAGTGCGCTTTTATGTCTTCAAAACCCCAAAATAGACATAAAAACTAATAGTTATATTTTTAAAATTAGAAAGAAATATAATGAATTCAAGCAAAAATCCACAAACAGTAATATAGAACTATTGTGGATTCCATCGCACATAGGCATACAAGGGAACGAGAAGGCTGATATTTTAGCTAAAACAGCGACTGTAGCACAGCCAGACAATGGTATTACTATTCCATTTACTGATTTCCATGAATCACTTGAATACAAATGCAACCTAAGCACCAAAAAGTATATTAAAGAACAGGGTCAAATAAAAGGCAAAGATTATTTCAAATATTACTACAAAAACAACAATAAACCATGGTTTGCAAATAAAGGTCTTTCACAAGAAAGTATTGTCACTATTAACCGTTGCAGATCAGACCATTATAATCTCGCTGCATCACTATCACGAGTAGGCATTATAAAAGAAACAAAATGCGAATGTAACGCTAATATACAAGATCTAAACCATATAGTTTGGCAATGCCCATTATTTGACACCCAAAGACTGGAGTTAGTTGAAAAATTAAAAAAATGCAAACTATACCTACCTCTAGATATAAGATTAATACTCAGTAAACCAAATATTGAAGCAAGCATACATGTATATCATTTCCTAAAAAGGTGCAATTTACAAATATAAGCAAACATATTATTATTTTTTTTTTATTGGATAAAAATAATAGCCTGGAAAGAACCCATCCAGCCAGCTGATACACATATATAATACGGAAAACTTGGCTAAAAACAACTCAGTTGTTTAACGTACATAGGTTAAAAAATAAATACAATCTTTAGAGAGCTCATAAATTAATATAATTTAAAAGAAACTAAGATAATTTAAAGAAATCACAAATTAAGAAGATGAAAATTATTCAAATACTAATAAAGATTAATACTAATGTTAGAATAACATAAAAAACAAAGAAATAGCTTATTGTAAAATAAAAATAACCTGACATGAATTAAATGCCAAAATATAAATAAGAAAACTATATAAGAAAACAAAAAACTATAACTAATCTTAAAACTAGATACTCAATACATAATTATTTATTTATTTTTTTTTTTAACTCGATGAAATGAATACAACACAAAATTTTGATTCGTAAAATAACTGTATAACAAGAACTTAAAATAATCAAATTCTTTTGTCAATATTCATAAAAAATGATTCCAACGATAAAACTATATCATTATTTAAATTCAATAAAATGGATTCCATTTGCCAAGGCAATGTATTATACACTCTGCATACCTCCTTCACCAATGAAGCCCTTTCTCGATCAAATAGCGAACATTCCCAAAAAACATGGTTGGCAGTCTCCAGCTGGTTACATGACACACAAAGCGGGGAGTTTACAATACGGAATCTGAACAAACTCTCGTTAAAGGACATATGTGAACTTCTTAATCTGCAAATGTTCACAACTGTTTTTCTACTAAGAGATAATTTATGAAACCAGCTGCGTCTAGAAAAAGAAAAGTAATTCTTAAAATAAAAAGATCCACGGTCAGAACCAGAAGTCTTACACCAATCAAAGAATTTTTCAAACATTTCATCTTTCCACAGAAGCTTAAAATCCTGAGTGAGAATACCAATTTGGGTATCAATACCTAATCTGACTGCTATTTTAGCTTTGCGATCCGCTAATTCGTTACCAAGGATTCCTTTATGAGCAGGAATCCAAACCAGTTTAATGTCAAATCTTGTATTTTGAGAGAGAGAAGATCTTCTCTAATAATAGAAATAAGATAAGATTTCTTGCCAGAAACATCAAAACGAGATAAAACAGAAAGGACCGATTTTGAATCAGAAAATATTGTGACAGATTTAATACCCCTTTCACGAATAGAACCAATAGCCTCTAACAAAGCCATTGCCTCGACTGTAAAAATAGAGATAAAATTTGGAGCTCTGAAAAGTTTAGATAAAGATTCATCAAGATTGGTAATAGCCAAACCAGTAAATCTAGCCTTCTTTTGTTTCGAGCCGTCTGTAAATAAACAAAAAGAATCATCAAGATTGACAGCAAATTTATCTCTAAAAACTAAATCAGGCTGACAAACATGAAAAAGATAATGCCCAGATTCTAAGTCGATAAAAGGTATATACGAGATAGATTCATAGTTTTTAGAAAAACCTAAAAGTCTTCCATTTTTTTCCAAAAGATGACAGTAATTTTTAACAATTCTAAAGTTGATAACCAAAGGAATATTCAAAAATCTGTTGATTATAGTGGGATTATCTTCAATATCTATAATTGAATCTAAAATAGGGCTAAGCGGGTAGTGGCACCCGTTTGACCACGTTAATATTGACCACGATCCCAATTGACCACGTTGAGATTGACCACGTTGCAATTGACCACGTTGATATTGACCACGTTGAAATTGACCACGGTCCCAATTGACCACGGTCCCGATTGACCACAGTCCCGATTGACCACGTCGATATTTACCACGGTTCCGATTGACCACGGTCCCGATTGACTACGTTGACATTTACCACGGTTCCTATTGACCACGGTCCCGATTGACCATGGTTCAAATTGACCACGGACCCGATTGACCACGTTGATATTGACCACAGTCTCGATTGACCACGTTGATATTGACCACGGTCCCGATTGACCACGTTGATATTGACCACGTTAATATTGACCGCGGTCCCGATTAATCACAGTCCCGATTGACCACGTTGATATTTACCACGGTTCCGATTGACCACGGTCCCGATTGACCACGGTTCAAATTGTCCACGGACCCGATTGACCACGTTGAGATTGACCACGTTGATAATGACCACGGTCCCGATTGACCACGTTGATATTGACCACGTTAATATTGACCACGGTCCCGATTAATCACGTTTATATTGACCACAGTCCCGAGCTGTATAACTCTTGAGTCATAACTGTGAGATATTTGCGCGGACATTTATGGACGGACACTCTGTATGTATAAGTAAGTAAAATTGCCATGAAATTTCTTGTTTATTTAATCATATTGATATTTTTGATATGATATTGATATTTGATATTTTTTTTATATCTCTTCTGATTGATAATGTGTTAAATACAGTGTAATTGCATTTTTCTTAAAATCTGTTTTTATTGTTTTTCAAGACATCTTCTTGCATATGAAACATAATTCTTATATCAAAGAGAAAGGGCTATCGTATACAAATTGACATAGCTGCATCAAATAGACGTCAATAAGATCGTCTGGACCAATAAGCATGTTATGTAAATCAATATGGTGACTTAATGCTCGATGCTCGTTGATCCAGACGATCTGCTATGTATATGTCAATTTGTGTGCAATAATTCAAAGTCACGCAGAATAGATTAATGAGGGTTAATAAGAAATCATAACCGCTTCTCTTACATTAGCAAATAATACATGAAAGTATAGCTCTTCTTGATTATTGAAACAATTTTGTTTAACATTTGTTTTCGGTAAGTTAGTTAACTTCTCCAAGTAAGTGACTTTATCTTAATACGACTTCTCTTTTTAAAAGTTTATTTGTCATTAAACTTTCAATAACGTTTGTTTAACTTCAAGAATATAAATGTTATAAATATTGTCTTCTTATGGTCATAGAAATTATATGAATTCTTGTATTCAAATTTTTGTCGAATATCTTTTCGGTTATCTTTACATTTTTTAACACAAACAAATTCTGGAGAACACGATGTTATAATTAATCTATGTACATTACCTAGGTAATATCGTATGCATATAGCTATATAATGAATATATGTACAATTAAAATTATATATGAAGTCGACGGCGTAGCAAAAAATTAGCTGGTTGCATATATTGTTGATTTCTATGACTATTGTTTGTAGCTTTATTGTTAGAGTTAATTGATACAACTCGAAATATCATTATACTGATACTCGACTTTGTATCGATATTTAATAGCTCTGTTCTGTTATATATTGTTACGTCCGGTAGATTCCACGATCTTTTTCTTTCATAAAAACTCTTTCACTGATATAAAAAATTACGCTCTGGAACCTTTCTGCACACGACGTAAACAATAAGCCAAGAAATATCTAGCAGGCGAGACTAATCTTTCAGAACGATAAAATTTGTTTAACCATGAGACGGATCAATAAATATTCCGAGACTAAGACCCACGTCAAAAATTTGAAAATTTTAAACAAAGATAAAAGACCCTCAAACGCTAGAAATCTAGACCATGTGCGTACGGAAAACAAACAGATGGATCAAATATTCAACTCTAAGGTCCGCGCAACGGGCTTAAGGGTTTAAAACAAAGGATAAGGAGAGGGACAATGGTTTACAGATGAAACCAAGATCCATAACCAGAACTCGCGATACTTGACACCGCGTGCTCGCCTGCCAGACCACCCTCTTGTGTTATCTGTTTGAGATAAATTTCAACGGGAATAATAAAAATGTCAACTTAGCCGATCATAACGGACTCTCCAATAGGCTGGACTTAACTTCTAAAAACAAAAGCCTACACCAATAGACGCAATTTCTGGACCTTCTTCTGGAAGAGTAGCACCTCCTACTCAGGAGAGGGGTAAATAGTAAAGATTTGATTCGCTAAAAAAGAATTCTGATTGCCTAATGGAGAGGGTACGTGGGGAGATGCTAAGATTTGAGGATACGCGAAATCTTCGCTCAAAGATTCATTCCGTTTTCGTTCTTCAACCGACTCACTACTTAGCTAGTAGTATGTTATTTGTAAATTGAGTAGAGAGCGAGTTTAAATAAAAGTGAAAGACCTAGCGATACTTAAGTGTTAAGTGCCAGCAAGCCGTTGTTTAAACCAGCAACAACAAGCCGGGTTCCCGAGCCATCATTGCCGAGTCCATTCCGATCAGCTATGACAGCTGGAGCCGAAGTACACTTAGCCACTACAAGTTTCGTCCAACGCATTCTTAAGTAGTAAGTGGGTTGAACAATTTTCAATTCTTTTCCTTTCCTTTTATTATTATTATTATATTTTACGTCTTGTATTCTGAAATAATTCTTGGATCGATCAGTATCTCATTTCGATACTTCGTACTTAGATCTTGATTTGCTTCCCTGTGCAACCTTCTCCTTCTTAATCCTCATACTTCTTCCCTTGAAATATTATCTCGAATCACCTTTTTTTTCACTTCCTACCAGTCACCACGAGTTACCTGTATTTTACAGCGCGATTCTCAACTTCTTATCAGTCACCACGAGTTACCTGTATTTTACAGCGCGACTTTCGACTTCCTATCAGTCACCACGAGTTACCTGCATTTTACAGCGCGACTCTCGACTTCCTACCAGTCGTCGAGAGTTACCTGTATCTTACAGAGCGACTCCCGACTTCCTCCCTATCGTCGAGAGTTACTTATATTTCACAGAGCGACTCCCGATTTCCCGTCCGTCGCCACGAGTTACCTGTATTCCGCAGAGATACTCGTGATTTCCAACCTGCAATTAAGAGTCACCTGTATTCTACAGAGCGACTCTCAGTTACATTTGTCACCCTTTTACTCCCAATTCGTCCGAAAATTTTCATATAGAAATATAAAATATAAACTTTCTTTATTATCCGGATCTGAAATCTAGAGTTATTCAGTTAATTAAAAAAAACTTCCAAGAATTGTTTCGTGAATTAAGAATTTCTTCACAACCGATTTCAGTATTATCATTACTCATCACGGCCCCTTTCCTTAATGGAAAGATTAAATCAATCTTCGCGCGCGACCATCAAAGGTTCGCGAAATCATCGGAATAGACAGCTGAGAAAAGAATTGGCTCGGGCGGCCGCGGACCCTAATTACACTATATATTATAAGAAATTTAACGTAGATAAGCATTCCTTCGACCTAAGAACTCATCGTTT